CGCATCAGTTCGATGATGGAGTGGAGAGGAGAAAAGCCAAAGCAGATGAGCCGCCTCCTCTGTGACAGGACAGAGTGGAGATGTTTCTGGCTGATTTGCACTTACCCGCTGACGGACATCTCTCTGGCACTTTCAGCTGTCATGAGCTCCAGCTAACAGCGAGGCTGTAATTGCCTGTTGCTAGCAGTAATGCCTAGCTGTCTCTGCAACGTTTACTTTTCATTATGCTGATGTATTCATCACAGCCCCCTTTTTTTTGACCTTATCAATCATAGTTTAAGTTCCTACGGACTTCTTTTTAATTACAGCTGTTTTTCTTCCGCAACTTGTTCCCTCTGGGGGTTTATTTTAGACTGTAGCAACCAGCTTGGTTAGAGGTGTCACCCACCAGCGCTTCAACTGTGGCATATTGTTACCTGGTCAGAGATTAATCCACTGTTATAGAGCCTGTGCCATGCTCAGAGCCTCAAGTCAAATCCACGCCTCTCACCTTAATTGGCAATGAAATGGCGGAGGATGGCCCAGTGACCGGGAGCTCGCTGTAAAGGGCATTGCTGCTCCAGAATTCACTTTTCAGCTGTCACACAACCTGATTATATTAGCCTGGACGCGAGTAATAACTGTATTCCTATGATTAATTTGATTTGAGGTGCAAAAATGATTCTCTGGCCTGTGACTCTGCTCATTCGTGGAAAAGTGAAATCAGATAGGTACGAAAATGTATGAATGGTTCATTTGAATAATTTGGCAGCCACATGGGGAATAATATGAAGCAATTTAAGGTGTTATTTGGGGAAATACTGCAGCTTTTCACTGCAAATTCTGACAGTTATCCCCGAATATCCAGCTATTTTCATACAGTAAATCCCTCAACATGTTAAAAAACGGTAAAAAGTCCAAGTACTTCAGCAACTGCTCCGATCTACAGTATCTTCCAAATGTTTTCATACCCTCTGAATAGTTCTAAAATGAATCACATTAGAACAATCCTAAGCTTTAATGTTCTAGGTATGTTTATGTCATAGACCAACATAAAGTCAGGAGTAACTGTGAATTGTAATAAGATATGTGATTATAAAATATTTTTCTCCGTGTTGCTTTAATAGCTGTTATGCAATGAATTTCTGTTGTAACTTTATGTTATTTAGTCAAATAACCTTTGAACAAACAGATAACGCTGCACACATAAGGAATTAATTCCTATTCCTAACAACTTCCATTCAAAATGTAAAAAAAAATATTAACAAACCTCATTAAAATACAAGAGAAATTATTCAATGATATCACAGTTCAGGATGGATTTAATATTTTGGAACCAATGTTTATCTTGAAGGGTATGGAATGTGGTTACATAAGCTTTTAAGTAATTTAGAGCAATTGTGATGTGTTCAAACCAATTCACAATGCAAATCCTATAGTGTAGGTAAATAGATGTATTTGGAAAATTAGATTTTATTATATAATTTGCTTGATATTTCTCTCCAGTATGGTGTCATAGCCAAAAAGGAACAGATCTGATGAATCTACTATGATCAGAAAGAGCAGAAGAATGCTGAAAAGGGTCTCTATGTCCTCCAGCGGTCTAAGCCGATAGCAGCATAACTATAGAGATAGCTCAGGGTTAGCCTAGCCTTAAAAGTAGACAGGGTGTCTGCCTCACGGACTAAAGGTAGCTGTTTCCACAGGAGAGGAGCCTGATAACTAAAAGATCTGCCTCCCATTCTTCTTTTTGAAATTCTAGGAACCACTAGTAAACCTGCAGATTGAGAGGGAAGTGCTCTGTTAGGAACATAAGGAACAATCAGATCTCTGATATCAGATGGACCTTGGCCATTTGAAGGTATTGTGGAGGATTTTTGCGATTTTTTTAAAAGACCCTCCCTCTCCACTTAAAAAAAAATAAAAAAATTGGGGGGGGTGTGAGAGCATGCAAGAACCCATTTGTCCTCGTGCACGTTCTGTATAAAAGTTGCTGTTCTCATAGCTCATAAAAGCTTACTGTGCCCGAACACTAGCCTCGTGAGACCATTCTGATCTCGCGAGCTTTCAAGGTTTCACTCGCAGATCAGTCTGGAGACTCTCCGTTAAAGAAAATGTGGAGCCGTTCACCAAACGAACGTCCAATCAGCGTTGGCTTTGAGGCGGGTTGAGGTGTGACGCAACGAGAAGCGCGACAGTTCAGTCTAAAGAACATGGTGGCTTCAGCCGATGAAACTAGCGTTAGCGTGGCTATCGAGCAAGTTTTATGGGAATTACAGAGTATTTCTTCACTGAAAGAAGAGCAAAACACTGCTCTGGAGGCTTTTCTCAGAGGAAAATATGTTTTTGCTCTTCTCCCAAATGGTTTCGGCAAGAGTTTGATCTATCAATTGGCTGCTCTTCGTCGTCGCTCTGTTAGTACGTCATATGCTTCGTTGATCTGATTGGTTTATTTGGCCCGTCTATCACCAACATAGGCCAATCAGCTAACCAGTATTTTCGCCCCTTCCCAAAATTACTTCAATGGAAGGTTTCCAGATTTTCCAGGTTTCCAGATGGATATGCGGAGCAAATCCATCTGGCGGAGTCAGGTTACCCGAACACCACCCTAACCCCTTAATCCCTCAAACACTATATAGAGTGGGGGCCATATATTGGACTTTATATCAAACTTACTGTTTCGACAGATGATCACTGCTTTTTGCTCCCCATTGGTCACGTAACTCCTCCTCCACCACGTGCCTGCGTCATCTTTGTTATTAGTCACTGCTGTTGGGTTGTGGCAGCCTGTGGCGACAGCGGGCCACTGTGACATCCGATGCTTTGCTTTGCGAGGAGAGCTCTCCACGCAAAGCATTCTGGGATATATCTTCCTATTCTGAGGCCTTTCTTTCCTTCTCATACACTTCCTAGACACTTTTTCTTTTACGACCCTCTGGCATTTTCAAAGAACCGCAGTGAGAAAGGTGAGCCTCAATGACTGAAACTGTAGCTCACCATAGATTCACACTGTCAGGTCTAAGCACCTAAAACATCATACATACATACAGGGAAAGAAAGAAGGCACAGAGACAATTAATTTAGTTTTACTCGCGAGGAGAGGAAGAAGAGACTGCAGAGTTTACAAATCTCCAATCCACCCTGCCGGTCTTCAGCTTTCTCTTCACTATTTATTGAAGTCAAGGGATGTCCCTAATTACACAAGCTGAGGTTTAACTAAGGGAAAGGGAAAAACAATGATCTTACTTTAAACCTAAGCACATAGGTTAAAAACAAAGCATGTGGTTGTTTTACAATTGAATTGTTCCAAGAACACATGTTTAGAAGAAACATGTGATAGAGGCTGTTCAGGCCTCACAACCCGTCTGTTGCATGATCTTTATCTGGAACAATCTTTAGCAAGAGTTAATAAACGATAAATCACACGTTATACATCATAATAGTTCATTAGTACCCATGAAACACAAACGGAGTATAAATACAAATATTTCTAACACACACTGAGCCTGAAAGTGTGCATGCGCAGAAAAAGCTAGCTAACAGGACAAGCCCGTAGAACGGCCTTACGTACACATATCACCAGAATGATTGAAAATTAGGAGGACCGCTTATTTAGATGATCCACCTGGAAATAAAAGATCGTTCTCTATACCTTTAAGGCTTTATATGTGAGAAGGAGGATTTTAAATTTTATTCTAAAATGTGAAGAAATAAAAGTTAATTGTGTTTATCCATGTTTTTTATAGTAATCCCAGTGGAAGTTGTTTCTAGGAAGCCCTCTGATGTTTTTTAAAGAACAAACTACTAAAGGAAAACCAATGGATATAGTAGACAGGTCAGGGAAACAGTTATAGGGTGTCAGTTGTTGGCATAACTTCAACTGTCATTAGCCTGCAGTGGCAAAGCAGCTTGGCCATGCTAGTTCATTCAAAAAGGATACATTTCCTTTAATTTCTAAATCAGTCAGATAAAGGCTTTCTAAAATTAGTTGTAACATAAAAAAGATGAAGGAGTCTTTGATAAGGTTTAGCCAATAAGTAAGCTTGAGGATGAGCTGTTTATTTCTAGGCTTGAACCTTCACACATCCACCCAAAACAAAAGGCAGGAAGCAAATTGACCTCCCTCCATTCGCAGGTTATCGCATGCCATTTACTGACTGCTTGTAGAAGCTGTATGAGCTGTGTACCTCATGGAATTGGGGTCACTCTGACTTTTGTTTACTAAGACGTATGAATTTTTTCCCCCGTTTTTTTTTCTCCCCAAGAATTGATTCCATTAGAGTCTTAAAGATTAAGCAATAGATGAGAATTTTGGGTACAAATCAGAACATATGAGGTGCTTATCATTATATACGCAAAAGCTTAAAGATGCAAAAAGCAAAGCTGATAATTAGAGTTCTTTTGTGAGCTGTTTGGTGCTCTATTACCTCGCTGGGCGACTGATGGTCTGACACGCTCATATCCCCACCCATCATCCTGCCCCCTCATTCATGCCTCCTTGTCCTCCAGCAGCCAGGCATTATTCTAAGACGATAGAAGCATTTCATCCATTTTCCTGTAATGACTCAGGGCCGTGTCTCTTGGCTGTCAGTGCATGAACCCAATTCCGTTCCCGAGGTTCCGCTGTATATCTCTTCCCAGCGACTGGATGAGCTGAGCTTGTGGGTTAGTGGGTAGGGAACACAAATGGGTGGGACTTCATCTCAATGCTGTGGCGATTACCGGAGGCAGACTCCGTTATTGCTCCCATCACTCCTGATGAAAAACCATTTTATCCAACACACACCGAGAGAGCAGCAAGGCTTTGAGTTGCCATTAGCCTGCAATTGCAAAGCAGCTAGACCAATGTCGACTGATGGAAAGACTCACCCAAAGGGTCGTCATCATACAGCACAACGGGTAGAATTGTGCTGTTGAAATTATTTTGGCCGTCGCTGCTTATTTTATGGCAACAAAGAGAAAATGTCTTTGTTTTTCATGTCTCTGATAGTGGAATTGTTTTCAGATTTTCATAACGCAGAATGAAACCTTCAGGTCAGTCTGACATATTTAAGTAGTGAGAGTGAGAGGAACACAAAGTATCACAGATTACAAGGTCAGTGGGAATCCTTGGCTGTGACTGCACTGGAAATGAAGCGGAGGACAAGGCTCTTCAATCCTCGTGACTCTCCATTACATATGATGTTCACTTTCATTGCCTGTCTTACAGATACAGTGAAGATTTGCAGTTATAACAGATTAGACTATAGTTTTTTTTAGATAAATAGCCTTTTGTCCTGAACTTAATGGCCACTTTATTACATGAATCTTTGCAGATCTTATAAACAATTCGCTTTAAGTATCAGTATATAGTGAAACTGACCTGCAAAGTTTTAAAACCAAGCCTCTGAATGAGAAGGAAAGGAGTTTTCAGTCATTTCGACTCTGTTGTTTTCATGAGAATGGCTGGTCTATAACTACAGAAACTGCTGAAATGCTCTGATTTAGCTGCATAACAATATATTTACTGAATAAATAACTATCCTAAAAAGACAAATTAAATATTTTTTCCTGTGTTTCCAAAAAGGCCAAAGTAAATAACCCAGTCCTTCTTTTCACTGTAGACAAGCCATGATCTGCTTATCTGTTCTCCATTTTTCATTTGGATGAAATAATAGCTGCATGAATCATGACAGCAGACAAGATAGAGGAGAGCAGTTACCAATCTACTCGCTCTGGAGAGCAGAGTTCGCTGCTTTTAGATGTTGTCTCCAAAGTCTCCAGTAGCAGAAAAAAGTCTCTAGATTTGGCGCTAGGAGCGCAAAATCAAAGTGCTAGAGGGGTCTGAAAAGTGGCTACAGATAGGGACAAAAGTGCTAAGTTGGCAACACTGCTCTTCGCATCGTTTGTTTTCAAATGGTTTGCTGCTGTCTGTTTGGACCTTTCTGAACATGTGCAGCAAATGGACTGATCCAATATGGTGGACACTGAAGGGCGGGGGGCTGAGACACATTTAATATTATAAGCATTCTGATGGCATTTTAGCGAAAGAAAACATAATTAAGGTCCACAAATAAGGAATTGTTGTAACGATCTTGGTTCTGTTGTTTTTCTCTAAGTTTTCAGTTTCAAGTTTAGGCAGTTTTTTCCTTGTTTTCTAGCTTTATTGGTGTCTGGATTCATTTAAGTTTCTTAGGTTTTTCTGTCTGTCCTCTGTTGCCCTTGTGTTCTTTTCCCTTACCTTCCTCATCAGCTCTGCTCACACCTGCTCCTTATCAGCTCATTAGTCCTACCTTTGTTCAGTCAGCCTTAAATACACTCCCTCTGCAGCCCCTCTTTGCTGGTTCCTCGTCTTACCTTTCCTAACCCTTGCTCCTTGATGGTTTTCCCCTGATGTCTCAATGGTTCTGATTTGTGTTTGATTTTTATGTAGGATTTTTGGATACCTGTTTTTGTTTAACATTTTTAAGTTGGATTTTTGGATTGCTGTTTTTGGTTTAATTAAACATTTTAAGAGCTCACCTCTGCCTGTCAGCCTCTGCACTTCCTCATAAAAACCTCCGAACAAATCGTAACAGAAAATGAATCCAGACACCAATAAAGCTAGAAAACAAGGAAAAACCTGGCTAAACTTGAAACTGAAAACTTAGAGAAAAACAACAGAACCGTACATGTAAACAGAGTTTTTTGGGGCCCCAGTAAATTGGTAACCTGACAACAGCCAGATGCACGTCTCGCTCCGCCTAGCTCCACTCACATACATCTGGGAACCCGCCATAGGAATTGCCTTTACTGAAGGCTGGGCCTTATCAAAACTCCTTGCATATGATTGGATAAGCCACTTGTCTGTCATCTTTATCGACGTGCTATTTCAACCACTCACACCGAAGCTAACCCGTGACGCTGTGAGAGCTACGCAGGAAAAAAACAAAACAGAACAGCCGACATCTTGGATATAGCAACAGTGGAATCAGCGCAATGTCGGTAAATGATCAATGTCGTTTGTGCCATGAAAACGTGCGGATAAAAGGCAACATTGTGCACAGCAGACTTATTTTAAAAAAAGAAGCCAACCAAAAAAGTATAGACGAACGACTTACAGAACTCGCTTCTCCACTACGTCACATGCAGGAAACACCCGCCCTGCGTCCTGATTGGCCATACCATAAATTTGGTTGGGGAAATCACTTTCAATGAGCGGTGTCCCAGATGTATGTGAGTAGAGCTAGGCGGAGCGAGACATGCATCTGGCTGTTGTCAGGTTAGTAAATTGGGGCCCTAGGCAGCTCCCTAGTATTGCCTAATGGTAAATCCTCCTGTGCATGAGAATAGGAGCCACCATTAACTGGATGAGAGGAAAGGGGGCCTCAGACCACTAGGTCATCTGATATGTCTACTGAAAAAGGCCAGGTGTGTCCCTTTTGGCCTGAATAGATTTCATAGGAACTCTGAACAGGGTAATACTCAAGTCCAGAGATTTTAGAAAGGTGGTCGGGGCTAAAAAACAAGACTGATTAAAAGAGGAGGAGGGGTTTGGCTCAGCAATATAACTGTATAACTACAAGGCTGTTATATTTTCTAATCCAACTGGCCTCTGATTTTGGTGACACTAGCTATTTAAATTGATGTAGTTGCAGCTCAACAACACGTTTTTATGCAATATTAGCTCTTCTGGATTGTTTGAAATCACATGTTTTTGTTGCTGTCAGGTTGATTTTAATGACAGCTAATGCATGGTTGAAGATGTCTGCAACAATAGCTGCTTGATTCAAGCCTGGAGAGAGTCCACTTCTTCTTTCTCCTGTCACTGATTGGCCAGTAATTATTGTTTTTGCTCTTTATTCCTGAATCTCAGGAGAACCACAAATTACAGCTTTGCTTTGTCATTAATGATCCTTCAACTCCTACCTGACATGTACACAAAGTCAAACTGAATTCTTTTCTTTTCTGTTTTAGTATATTAACACAATGCGGGTGAAAATATTCCCTAGCAGTTATTTTGTTTATTGTACACCTTATTAGCTAGAAGTGAGTAAATAGTATAAGTATTGTATGACACACATAATCTAAGAATAAAGTGTTTTAAAACATGAATCCTAGCGCTTAGATAAGTACCTGTTTAACTTAAGGTGTTTTTTAAAACAGCTGAGAAAAGAAAAACAAATAAAGGTCTTAGTTGAATTAAACTTCCTCTAAATGTTTGCTGAAGCGATCGTGTTTTATTTTCATTTAACCACATTTTATCTGTGTATGATGGTTAATAATGTCCACATTAAAAACATGTTGATTTGGATTTACTGATGAACAGGAGTAAAAGTCAGCTGGTTTGGTCAGGCAACACATGCAAAGGTTATAGTTCTCCCCTTTTGGGACTCTGAGTTTTTGGTTTTCAGTCATTCTGTTTTGTTGATCTCTGGTTTATTTTCCATTTCATGTATGTTGAAGCTTTCTTTGGTTGCTCTCTGTCGCCGCCTTGTGCCTGCCTCCTTCCCCTGGCTCCCTTCTGGTCTCTTCTATCCACACCTGCTCCCAATCTGCTAATTAGCCTGGTCTTAGTTCAATTACCTCAACAGAGCAAGCTTTTTTACTCCAGTAAAAGTGTAAAAGTACCATTTTTAAAACTACTTAAAGTATAAAAGTACAAATAATGCAGAAGAAAATGTTGAGGACAGAAGCTTTGCTGCTCTACCCGTTTAAAGGAACATTTTTCTGCAATTCTGGATGATAACTTCCTTAGACTTCATTTTCTTAGTTTTTTAACGGTAACAGTGTCAAATTTGCATCATCTTGAAAAACGAACTATTTTGGTATGTGGTGAACAAGTAAGAGCAGCACCGATTCGAACCACAAAGAAATTGTCTGAATGAAACAATTTTTTTAAATGCCAACAGGCCGTTATGAAAAGCCTAAATGAAACAAAAGTAACACGTCTATTTTTAAAATGTAAAGATTAGAAGTAAAAAGTTGTCTAAAAAAAGTAATTACTCTAGTAAAGTCTAGATAGCCAACATTTCTACTAGGGATGCACGATATTAGGATTTTGGCCGATATCCGATATGCCGATATTTTAAAACTCATGTAGCCGATAACCGATATCGATACTGATGTTAAAGCTGGACAAAAATAACTAGTCATTGAAAATAGCAGTTTTGTTATCCATTTCTGACACTTTGAAAAATAATATACTCAAATATATTTTCATATGCTGATATCAAATAGATTTTTAAAAACGCGGTATCGATCTATTTTACTTTCAAAATCTCGTGAAATTTCATCGTTCTGTTACAAACTCTCGTGATATTTTGCAAATTCTTGTGAGATTTTATTAGTAAAATAGATCGATACCGCGTCAATATATCAACATATAAAAATATGGCAAAATTTCGTGAATTTTCGGGGGATTTCGTAGCATAACGATGATATATAGCAATATTTCATTAGTAAAAGAGATTGATATGGTGTTTTTAAATGGCAATATATCAGCATATGAAGATATTGGGATATTTTAATGTATCAATATTTTTTCCCTCGTCTTTAGAAGTTTTTAAGTCTGTAACAAAGAAGTTTTTGAGGAAAAGGAAGAAGAAGTAGCATTTTATTTTTTTTTAGACTTTAGAAACTCAGAAGCTGATCAAATATCGGATTAAATATCGGTGGGGTGGCCGATGTCCGATATTAAGTTTTAAGGGCGATACAGGCCGATATCGATAGGGGGCCGATTATATCGTGCATCCCTACTATTTTGGTATGTGGTGAACAAGTAAGGGCAGCACCAAGTCCAACCACAAAAAAATTGTCTAAATGAAACTATTTTTTTTTTTTATGCCAACAGGCCGTAATGAAAAGCCTAAATGAAACAAAAGTAACATGTCTATTTTTTAAATGTAAGGATTAAAAGTAAAAAGTTGTCTAAAAAAGTAATTACTCCAGTAAAGTATAGATAGCCAACATTTCTACTTAAGTAAAGTAACAAAGTATTTGTTCTTTGTTACTTGATTCTGCTCAAATGAACTTAACTAATTCTTTGAGGTGCTTTTTTAAATTTTGTTTTGATTTTAAGTGAAAGCTCACGAGTTTCTTTCTGTCTCCACAGTGAACAAACACAAGCCGTGGATCGAGACTTCGTACCATGGCGTGATCACTGAAAACACTGATGTGGTTCTGCTGGACCCTCCGCTGGTGGCGCTGGATAAAGATGCCCCCGTCCCTTACGCAGGTATCGCATCTTCATCAGTCTACTTTAGCGTGATGAAAGCAACTGGCAAGCTTGGATGATGTCAGCCATTTGGGTTAAATGTGCTGAATTATCTTCTTCAGATTCACTTTATTCGGTTATACCTTGGGCTGTACTGTTTCCATTTCTTTTTTTCACACCGGACTTTTGTGTTTTTTTTCCTTTTTCGAGTGGAAAGTTGCACATAAAAGCCCCCTTGTTTAAACAAGGATGCTGTGAAAAAAGAAAAGGGGGGGAAGCCTCGTAAAACCGGATTAGATTCTTCGCTCTTTGAGCTCCTTCCAGCTCATCTAAAGGGTGCCAGCTCTCTGAGAGGACATCCGCTGGAGGCTGTTGGCTAGCCCAGTCCTCCTCTTCTCCCGCCAGGCTGCTAATGTGGCCGAGGCTACAGCAGGGGGGCCTGCAGCAGAGGGCTGAAGCTCACTCACAGAAACCCTCAAGCTAAGCTGGATGGTTGGGTGGATGGTTCACAGATTGATAGTTGAAGTGAGGGAGAGAGTGTGCAGATTTGTGCATGTTTGTGAAAATATATTGTGGTTGCCATGTGTATATACACCTGTGGGTGTGAGTGTGTAAGTGTGTGTTGGGTTGTGGCATGGGGGGTTGCCGGAATGCCCCCCCCCACAGGGAGAAAGAGAGAAAATGATGAGGTAGCTGGGTAAAAGCCGGCTGACCAGCACATGCCCGCCAGCTCTCCATTGACTGATGGAGTCACATGGATACATGCACGGCTGCACACAAGCATTTACTCCCACACACGGAGTTCAGGTTTTGCACATAGACATTGATGGAATTCCAATGTGAAATCTGTGGGAGATGTTCCCCGATAAATTATTGAGATGCAAGCAAACAAGGTTAGTTGTTGCTTGGCGCTGAGCTCCTCACCTTAATTTTCAGCTATGGCAATTAACCATCTCTCTTTCCACTCTCTTGAGTTCCCCCTCCTCATAACTTCCAAAACGTATTTCCGAGCAACCCAAGCAAACCAAACATTACTGTTGATGCAACTTCATATGTATTTTTCTTGCTCATGTGGTCAGAGTTATTCAGTAATTACCTGAAGGAAGTCAGGAAGGTCTCTCTCTCTCTCACTCTCTCTCATGTATATATATATAATTCTGTGTGAAAAAAAAATCCTGATCATTCTTTAATAAGATCCTCGTCAAACGGACTTGAAAGGTTTTTTTTTTTCAAGAGACAGAGGACGCTTTTTGTAATGCGTATTACTAAGGTTATGCTGGCCTAGTATGCCGAGCTATCACAACACCGGAACATTCACAGAGTTCCCCTCAGCGTCTCAATCTGAATTTGACCAGCGATCCTCACAGGTCTGAAACAACAGAAAATGTGGCAGAGTTGAGACTGAAACTTTACTAAAAGTGACACCAGCCTTCATTTTGGCCCCAAAGCAATAGCCTCGTGAGACCATCCTGATCTCGCGAGCTTTCAAGGTTTCACTCGCAGATCAGTCTGGAGACTCTCCGTTGAAGAAAATGTGGAGCCGTTCACTGAACGAACGTCCAATCAGCGTTGGCTTTGAGGCGGGTTGAGGTGTGACGCAACGAGAAGCGCGACAGTTCAGTCTAAAGAACATGGCGGCTTCAGCCGATGAAACTAGCGTTAGCGTGGCTATCGAGCAAGTTTTATCGGAATTACAGAGTATTTCTTCACTGAAAGAAGAGCAAAACACTGCTCTGGAGGCTTTTCTCAGAGGAGAAGATGTTTTTGCTCTTCTCCCGACTGGTTTCGGCAAGAGTAGCCTGGCTGTTAGTACGTCATATGCTTCGTTGATCTGATTGGTTTATTTGGCCCGTCTATCACCAACATAGGCCAATCAGCTAACCAGTATTTTCGCCCCTTCCTAAAATTACTTCAACGGACGGTTTTCAGATGGATATGCGGAGCAAATCCATCTGGCGGAGTCAGGTTACCAAAGCAACTCCATACCATCAGAACTGGCCTGAAAGGATGTCAGCCGTCTGCTCTGTTTTGTTTTATACGGATAAATGTGTCTGAGTGCTCCGTCAGTTTACGCTAACAATCACAAAGAAGCATCTTTGAAAACAATTTATTCCAGATTTCACATGGTTTTTAACTTTATGTTAATCTACACAGTAGCTCATCCATGGTTATGTTGTGGTTTTCGCATTCAACAGAAACATTTCACAGCTAGTCTAAATATATCTGTGACTTTATTAGTTGACAAGCACCCACACTATTTCAGTCAATCATCCTTTTAAATGTTTCCACCTCAGTGGCAGCTGAGCGTGAGGGTGATGCTGAAGCCTGTGAAAGGTGAGAAGCACCAGGCAAACATTTGAATTCTGCAAATCTGGAAAAGGTACAGAAACAGCTTAGCGACGGCTGCTTGGAAGAAAATAAAAATGTGAGCGCTGAATCAGTTAAATTATCTCCGTACATCAGCCTCCTCTGCATGCTGCGTTTCAGCCCTGCCTCCTTGTCTTAATGCTGGATCTGACTTAAATAAATGACACGCTCACTGTCATCATGCATGCTCAGCTCTGTTCATGAAAAAGATCTTTACTCTCATGGCAGGAAGAGTATATTTTACCTTTTTTTTAACAGAAACATCGTCATTCTTTGGGAAAAGATTTGATTAAACATGTTTATTTCTTAAATGAAGACAGTTCTGAAAATGAATGCAAGATTGTTAGACCTCATATTAATATCTAACCTAATTAGATATTTAGATAGATGGTGATAAATGCATATCAGGTTAATCAATGTAGAGGGGAATTTGACTAATGCAGTCAGTTATTTACATGTTTGGGGATACAGCAAAAAGGTAGCTTGTTTTCAAATAAAATATGCAAAAAGGAGCACATCATTATGACATATAGCATTTCGAAGATTCTGTTGGTTGGAAAGTGGTGCTAACAGGGTAAATGGCCAATATCTTCTAATTCAGTTCATTTCAAGTTATTTATTTAGCACATGTAATCTCAATGCACTGTAGAGAGAAAATTAAATTAGGGCTGCAACTAACGATTATTTAAAAAATCTGCCGATTATTTTTTCGATTAATCCATGAATCGGACAAAAGATATTTTTTATATTAACCTCTTTATTCCAAAATAAACATTTTAGACAGAACAAACAAGCACACAAGTACAGGTTGCTCATTAACTGTACTGGTGCAATATGAAAAATAAATAAATATGAAAAATAAAATAAATAAATAAATAAATAAAAAAAAAAAATTAAAACTACGCAAACTTACATGAGAAATGTAGCTGTACATCCACAAAATATAGGCTACTTTGTTTCATAAAGCGCAAAAAAAGACATTTTTGTTTTTAAAAGCCCCTAAGGGGTTCAAACAATAGGCCCCCCCATTTCAACAAATGAGTTTTTTTAGACTAGAAGAGTTCTGCCTTTTAAGACAGGAAAGTATAGCAGTTAAAGTTGCTACTTGAGAAAATACTGAACCATAGAGATAAATATAGCCCTGTGATTCAAATTATAAATTGTATTTGGAATAAAAATGAGAGAACTAGGGGTGCTAAAAAACACATCCTCCAAAGACAGATATTTACATGGGAATGTGGCAGATAATTAATTGACATATTACTGATCTTGCTGGATTTTGTTCTGCTTTACTTCCATAAATTGCAGGATCTTCTTTACTTTATCTTTGCCAGAAGATTTAAACTTTAAAAGCCTTGCCCTCATAATTTGCAAGTTAATTTATTTATAAAGTAAATGTAAACGCTGCTTAAGCTAATTCAAATGAAATTAAAAGTAAAATAAGTAGCCAACCTTATCACTGTCTGTAACCTACTAACAAGGTAAGGAAAGCATCAGATGAGCTACCTGAGAAACTAACGTTACGTTTCCCCACTTTAAAACCAAAAAAACATGGTCGCTCACCCTGCTGATCAGCTCTCTTCACTGCCATCGAAGGCTCCAACGTGTTTTCTTTTCAGGTGCTGCATCATAACAGTGGTGGTTCCGCGCCATGTTAATTTGTTTTTACAAAAGTTGCTTGTTACGACTTTTTTGGCTTCACAAAGCGCAGGCTATTTGGGATGGAGTTGGGATGGGGGAGGCGCCCCACGGCAATGACGACGGCGGCGCATGACGCATTAATCGTGCGACACAACTAATCGATGATGAAATTCGTTGCCAACGCTTTTAAAAGTCGATTTCTATCGATTTTATCGATTTGTTGTTGCAGCCCTAAATTCAATCAAATCATCCAGACAGATTGGATAATGCTTTATCTAGGTGAACCCAGCTTTTTGCATGTAGTTGCTGACTTGGTAGAATGGCAGGATTTACTCTGCCATCATGAGCATTTAGCAACGGTACATATTTGCGCACATGGTGTTGTTAACCTTCAAGCAATCTCTCACACTAAGCATGCATCCAGTGAAAGTGGAGAAGAAACATCCAGCACAAATGGGCTCAGTGTGAGCGGCCTTCTGCTGATGACTGGGAGTTAAAAGAAACATAAGAGGAACATAGAAGCACTGATGGATAAATCCTATGTTAAGCTAACAGTAAACTAGCTCCACGGGTTGCTTTGTCTGAGAGTCCCATTAAAAGCTGAGCCTATAGAAAAACAAGCCCAACCTTTTCATCTATTAACATGGGTCTTGACGGCAGCAGCCCAGCTGATGTCTACCGTACGTTCAGGATGGTGTCGCAGCTGATAGGCACAGACTAGATGAAGCTCCTGTGATCAGGAAAAGCAGAGATAATGGTAACAAATACTGCAGAACTGAAGAATATAGATAGAATGAAACAGTGTGTGGAAAAGTTGTCTTCATGTCCTCCGGCAGCCTAAGCCTACAGGAACATTAAAAGCATGAAACAGCATGAGCCACTCTAACTAGAAGCTTTATCAAAAAGGAAAGTTTTAAGCCTAGCCTTAAAAGTAGACAGGGTGTCTGCCTCACGGACTAAAACTGGTAGTTGGTTCCACAGGAGAGGAGCCTGAGAACTAAAAGATCTGCCTC